GATAAAGTTTGGGAATCACGTCATCGCGCAATCAAAGATATGGCGAAACGAGTCCATTACAGGTGTGATTTTTCCGACTATGAAGAGGGTATGTATGTATGGTTGAGGGAGTCGAAGATCGACAAGATCAAGGGAGGCAAAGGGCTTTGGACCTATTCGGGTTTGTATATCATCCACGAGAAGAGGGAATGCGATGTGTTTGTTCTGAAGGAGCTCAGTGGAGCTATATTATCAGGTCACGTCAATATTCACCGTCTCCGTTTATTTTATTACTGTCCTACACATCAGACTTTGAAGGTGAAGATTCCTCAACCTCGACAGAAGATAGAGTCAAAAGTACAAGGAATATCCTTTCGCCTCAATCTTACCTTGGAGCGCAGCACAGAGTATTTCCGATCTCATGCGGTAGAGATTCGGAAGGATTATAGCTGAGTTTTTCCTGACAATTTCTCCTTTCCCCTATACCCCTTTCTTTTCGGACCTTATACACGTACAATTTCTGAATTTATCCTTCATTTCCCCAATTTTCTGTTTACTATTATGGACACTTTATTTCAAGGTTATGATTCCCAGACTCTCCCTCACAACACTTCCTTCTCCATGACATTCCATTGACCTTCTTCCCGGCGTATTTGCCTCTCCAATTCACACGATTCAGCAGGTTTTCACCCTTGGTCCAACTATCTTGCCACTCAAAATCGTAACAAGCAACCCTTTATTTGGCGAAGGGAAGTCTCTAGCGTATTTGGAGTCGTCAACGAGATTGGCACAGTCACCACATACCCAGTGGATCTGACCTTGCGATATGCATTCAAACATCCAACAACTGGCATTCGAAAGGTTCTATATGTTCGCGATCCGGAATTGCGTTGGTCAGAAATTGTTCCCAGCATTCGTTCTGATATTATTCCTGCTCGTTATGTTCCAGCGGTTGGAGAAGATGGGGAGAAGAGAGGTCCGATGACAAAGGAATGGTTTCGAAACATGGTCAAACAGTTCAAGGTGATGGGGGGTTGTTTACTAAGAAGAGGTCTTGAGGTTTGCGAGCAGATTGAGGATTTCGAATGGAAGGTGTACGCTATGCTCCCCACCGTGGTTGACAACTTTGATTTGGGCAATTTCACACCTAAAACATTGGTGGAATGTGTGCGTGATAATTTCCACGTTTGGCACTTGGATTCCCTTAATCGTGCGTCTGCAATTCTTTCTGATTTTAATTCTGGTTCTCCGACTGGTTCATGCTTCTCTTTCAACAATGGCATTTGGGACGCGCCCCTAATACTTTACCTTCTGCTTCACGCAGTGTTTCTGTTGCTCCCTCTTATTCTGCTTCTTTCTTGGATGTGCTTGTTCCTGAGGAGTCTATGCGAGTGGATTCCAAGGACAGAATCTAAAGTACCCCCCTCTGTGGTAGGACTACCTGTCCTGCTGGTAGCCTGATAGGTATTCTTTCATTTTATTATTATCTCTTATCCTTATTTTTCAAACTACTACAACCACGATACGTTTATTCCTTTTCTTTTCTTTTATTTCTCTCTTTACTTTGCGCGCGTCGGCAATTGCAGACTTTACAACATCAATCAAACTCTCAGCATCATTTCTCGGACCGGACCGTTTACCTTTATTTCCAACCATCACTTCCCCTTTCCCTTTCGTTTTTCTTCCTTCCTCTTACCACGGCAATATCTCCCCAACCACTACACCTATTGACAAACGGCAAAACTATTCGATGTCATTGCTACTTCCACTATCTGGACTTGGAGAAGGGAGGAGTTTGGACAAGAAGGATAGGTCAAGGTGTTCCGTTTTGTATGTTTTAATTAATATTCAAATTCTTCTACAACCTTTTTTCCTTAACCACTATTCCCCTTTCCGTCGCCAAACTCAATAGCTGCCAAGGCTTCGAGGGATTCAATCGGTACATGCTTTGACCCAACGAGTCTGGGCAACTCGTTGAAGCTGAGGAGGGCAGCTTTTGGTCATTATCACGTCTTGCATGTCACCCGGTGAATTCCCGAGATAGCTGGACGCGCTGGACAGGGAGGAGACATTCCAACTTCGACCTGACACTTTAATTTCAATACCTACTGGTAACTTAGCATTCTCGATTGGCTGTACGACATCTGACGGTACAAGAGTATGCGCGGTTGTCAGAGTCGATCCTATATGTATGGCCCGAGGGCAGTCTGTCAAATTTATCTCCCACTTTTCACCGTTTCATTCCCGAGTCAGAGTCAGAGTCCATCGTCAGAGAAGACGACGCGAGTGAGTACCCTTTTTTTATTCTACTAACACCAATTGTAGGCTACGATTCATATCGAAACCCTACGAAACCCCATCCACGCTTAGCTGCTCATCAAGCCCGACTGATAGTCCTCTCCGGTCCCCGCTTGGACCGATCTTTCCTTCTTTAACGGAGTCGCGGGTAGTCATGAGCGATGATCAGGTTAGTTGGTTAGAGTCCTTCATATGCTCGTTTTGTGTTTACATCGCGCTATCTCTCTTCGTTTCTTTCGTTTCCTTTTTGTTTATCTCATCTGCGCAGTACGCTTCCATTAGAATGTCGTCGACACTCTCATCTGCTAACGCACCCATCCATTTATCTGGTCGGAAGGAAGTGACGGAAACTCTAATCAGGGAACGGAGGTGGAGGCAAGCTGCGAGGGAGGAGAAGAAAGTAGGAAGTGGACGAACAGCTGGTGGGAGCGGGGAATCGGATGCTTCGTAGTGAAATTCCAGACCGATGATTCCGATTTGTTCCAAAGTTTCAAGTGGATGTTAAAGTCTACAGATCTTGATGATGAAGCGACGGGCTAGGTAACCGTATATTGTGCTATAGGTGAATCAGGACGGGAAAGTCCTGCTCAATGGAAAAAATGCATCGTTTCAACTCTTGTTAGAATAACAAAAATTCCAGATAGACGTAAGAAAATAAAAAGACAGAGCCCGGATCTCAGCACACGATCCGATCCAGGCTCGAACTGAAGCCCTTCGGTGGAACATGCAAGATTGTAATGTGTTAGACAGCAACTATGCCATCCACAAATGCGGCCCAGGTGAGGCCGGCCGTCTCCTTCACGAAAAAGCTAGTACCCTTTGCTGTTGCACGGCGGATGAACAGGTAAATTGAACCACTGGGATGTTACATTTAAATTGCATAGTGCTCGAAGCTATCCCATTATTTGCCGATGTACTTAAGCTCGAAGACGATGCACTAATTAATATGATGATATTCATTTCTCCTTCTCACAACCTCCGCAACGAATCCGAATACGAAATATCACTGCCAAGAAAGATCAGAAACAGCTGTAAAGAAAACATAATAGACAGAACATACCCCAGAGAACGCCGGCTTCGTTGAGCCCGAGATGAAGACCTGTCCTGTCGGCTTCCCCTCTTTTACTTTGGGTGGATTGATCTTAGCCGTACAAGGCCCATTACCACAAGCCGGGGCCTCAAATGTAATTGAAAACTTCCCAGTAGCTGTCGGACCCGACCAAACGCTGGTTTCCCATTCAGATGGTAAGGGTTTTCGACAATTTGAGCTTTTTGGCTGCCGCTGCCTTCCTCATAAATTGCAACGCCATCTCTTTCATGCCAGTATCAGCGGAGCTGCTACTCTCGGCGTTGCTGCCAGTCTGAGGCTTGGGTTCCTCGGAAGAACTTGCAGTCGCAGTTACGAATTTGGCCGTTATCGACGAAGCGAGTGCGGCAGTTGATGAAGTAGCAGCGTTGTTTCCTGGCTCCCTAGAGGAGATAGTAAAGAGATATATATTTAAGTAAAATGAGCCAAAGAAGTGCTATAGGACACGCTTACTTCAGATTTACTACCACTTTCACTGGGCATGGGCACCGCACAGACAGCCATGACAAAACCGAAGAAAATGAATACAATGTTGAGACGCATAGTGACGAGGAGTCGAATATGAACGGGGCGAGATATTTGATTCAGAAGGTCGAGTGTGGTCTTGCATAAGTGAAGAGACGAAAGGACGTGACGACAACGTTAAAGTAAATCGAGCTTTGTGGATATTATAGGTGCAACGTTTTTTGACCAGCAAAGAGTTGATGTAGAGCAGTGGGGGAAGAACTGACCAGCAGTTATTGGGGAACCAAGCTTCAAAGAAGCGTCTTTAAATAGTCCGTCGGTGTATGTATGGCAGTGTGCAGGGTCTTCTAGAGGCTCTAACAATAGAAGGGTGGTAAGAATCCATCCTTCAAGTTCCTGTCACATTCAATAAATTACTCCTCTCCCGAGTATCTATACTGCATTTCCCACAACCAGGGTAGACTAAACCAGACGAATGCCACGCGAGGATTCAGTTCTATGACTTCCTGGCTCTTGCCAGATGAGTGTGTATGTGTATGCATATGTGTATGCGTAGCGGGAAATGCGTATGCGTGTGCGGGCTAAAGTCAGCCATAGACCAGCCGTCTACAGACCAACTCCACGGCTCAACAGACCATGTATCCGTGATGCGCGATGAGGGTGGGTGGGAGAATGTAAGTACATGATAAGTAAGAAGAGCATGCAGTGTCCCTGCCTCCAAGAGGCAGGAGTGACGGTTAAAACCCTGTGGGAGATGGCCCCAGTTCCCCATGACCACTATATATCCCGCCATCCAGGACTGCTCAATAATATAACCCTTCCCTGCCCTCCCAGATACAAGTCTGGAGCCCAGAATCAAAAGATTCTCTTATCAAGCTCAAGTGAGCTCGACGTGACATAGCCTGTGTGCTTGGGTCATTTGTTTCTTATTCGTTCTAAAGGTTTTTGAGTAGACGTTAAAGTGACAATGTACTGTAGATTCTTAGATGAGGTGATACACGATGAGTGGAGCTGGTTGGTAGGAAATCGGATGCAGAAAGGTTCGCGATGGATCGGAGTACGTCGCTCAATGAAAAAATGCGTTGTTTCAGCTGTTTCTAGAATAGCAAAAATTCCACATACAAAAGATAATCAGAAAAATAACCATGACGAATGCCACGCGAGGATTCAGTGATTTCGACCCAAGTTTGAACTGAGGGCCTTCTGTGAAACCGCGAACAGGCAGATGTGATACCCAACTACGCCATCGAACCACACATTCAGATGTAAATTCTTGTACTGACCGACTGTAGCACAAACCAACTACTCAGAATCTCACAACCAACTTGGCATGCATAGTCCTCATGCATAATCGTCTAAAACTGTCCCGTTACTTATTTGTGTTCTAAAGTAGAAACGATACACAAGTTGATATGACCATCTAATTCAGTGTCCATCTCGCTCTCCACGCACTCCCTTCTCACAACCTCCTTAACGAATCCAATGCTACAGATCACTGCGCGCGCAAATGCAAAAGAGATGTCAGAACGATAATCCTTTACTTAACTTTTCCAAGAACACATACCCCGGAATACAACTCTTTTTTATTTCCTTCCATCCAAATGCTTCCCGTCGGTGATTTTGCATTGGGTTTAGCTTTGACGATGTCAACCGTACATTATCCTTCACAAATCGGGGCCATGATTTAATTTTGAACCTATCACGAGCTGAGCCCGACCAAACGCTGTTGCCTCAGTCGATTTTAGCTGTTGCCGACAATAAGAGCTTGGGCTCTGCACCTGTCGCCTTCCTCACAAATGCCAGCGCTATCGCTTTCATAACGTCATCAGCAGAGTTTTCACAAGGACTGGCGACATCAGTCTCAGCGTCGTCGTTAGACTTGGGTGCCTCGGACGAAATTTTAGCTACAGGTATGAATTCCCCTTTCATTGGCTCAAGGATCGTGGTCGACGAGGTAGTAGCAGCATCAGTTTCGCCTTCAGCCTAGGACGAGAGAAATATATTTTAAATAAAACGAGTCAGTGAAGGGTTATAGGAGATGTTTACTTTAGTGTTGCATACTAGCCACATATTCAGTAATAGGCACCGCACAGACGGTGGTTACAAGATAAATATGGACGCATGACGGCGGGCACAGATCAAATATTTGAGTGGGGTAATTTGGAAGAAGTTTGAGTGAGAGGAAGAGGACGTGACGACAGTAAGGTAAATCAAGCTTGGTGGAGATTACATAGGCTTAGTGCTCTTTGACCAGCAAAGAGCGGTGTGGGGAAATAACTGACCAGCAGTTATTAGAAAACTAAACTTCAAAGCAGCATCCTTAAATAGTCAATCGGAGTATAAGGCTGTGTGCAGGGCTGAACGGGCTGAACAGCTGAACGTAGTACCTTGGTATTTTACCATATCGTGGTATTCTATCCTAGCATCATGAAACGACCTATTTACCTCAAGCGTATAGCGTATCAACAAAAATCGTATCCATCCGACGGAAGAATCGGCGGGTCATCGACGGCAAAGAAGAAGAGAAATGCTCACTGTCGTAACTTGCGTGCCATCATGGGGGTTATCCTCTATACAGGGTGGCTGTCGGTAAAATGGTAATTCTGAGCCTATTTGAAGGTCAACGTATGAAAAAAATGTATTCACCCACGAAACTGTTAAAGCACGAACAATCACGAACTAACTGTTAAAGCACGAACAATGAGGTTAGAGAGAAACTGACTACCAATGAGTAAAACATACCCTCCTAGATAGAGAAAAACCACCCAAGCAGCGTTCCTGCCAAACTCAGGTTCTCTCCACCAGTTACAATGTGTATTGTTCTTCCAGTTTGAATAAGCGGGTTTCTCCATCGTCATTATGAGGCGAGAAAGTAATCCGATGATGAAAGATACTAGTCCAAGTCAAACGCTTACAGCCCATTGGCTCGATTGCACTGGTCTTCTTGACAGAAATTCCGAATTAAAACCTACGATTTTTATCGCCTTACTTGGTCCATAGTTCTCAGTGCATCGAGGTGGATAGCTATGTTGTTATTCCTCTGAACCGTACCAGAATCAACGTAACAATTACTGCTTCTCGCGATCTCGGAAATGCACTTCTCGGTCCTCATCAAAGAGCACACTGACTTGCTCGATAGTACGTCCTCTGTACGTAGCCATCAGATCATCTACAACCTTCAACTGGGTACGCGGTACTTACCTCGTCTCAATGAAGAGCCACCAGATGAGGAACAAGTATGTGACTTGAATAGCCAAGTACACAAAGTAGAATTTCCACTGCATGAATAATGAGGTCAAGACAGCATTGAGAAGTTGAGAGGACCAAGCAAACTCGGCAACTCACCTGAAGAGCCTCCAGCCCAATCGGGTTAACAAACCCCGTAACCGCAAGAAAAACAGACGAAACCAGTGAACCAAAGGATATCGCTTTGGACCTAATCGAGAACGGCAAGATCTCTGGGAGATATAAAGACGCAAGCGGTAGCCAACCCAATTCATACGAGCCGAAGCAGAAGAAGATTATAACCACAAAGGCAATGCCTATCGTAGAATCAGGCTTTTGAGCGAATCCAGCCTAATTGCCACGACATGATATCAAAATTAGAGTGCATGAAATTCGGGTGACTGACTTACCGCTAACCCAATGAGCATCGCGAACGTCACCAATACGCCAGCGGTGGAGATCAAGTACAAGGGCCGTCTACCAACTCTATCGACGCACAACCCTCCCACGATGGATACGAAAAGGCCGAAGATGGATAATGCGCCATTGACGAGGGCTGCGAGAGGTAGTTTAGATATTATCGGAAATAGTAAACAGATCATAATGTACTCACAAATCTCCACAGGGTTCGTGATCCCAACGGAACGAAGTACAGGTGGGAGGTAAGCGGCAATCACATTGGCTGTAAAAATCCAGGTAAAATCCAGTCAATTTCAAGGTCATATACGACGCAGTTAAGACTTACTTCCTAGGAGTGTTGCTCCTGCATCCACAATAAACACGATCATCAGTCGACGCCGATTTCCTGGAGTAGCCAAGAGGCTCCTCCAGTTCCCAACAGACTCTTCTCTATCTCTCTGGATATGCGCAAAAATTTCCTTATACTCTTCCTGTACCAATTCGTCGTCGCGGACGCCATTTGCGTGAAATTTCGCCAACATAGTCAGAGCGTCTTCATTTCGTCCTTTGTTAATCAAATAACGCGGAGATTCTGGTCCAAAAATTGCACTGAATACAAGGATGAAGGGGCCGAATGCCTGAAAGAGTACTGGAATTCGCCAAGCCCAGTTAGAGTCCCAGTACAAGCATCCAAATGTCAACCAGGACGAGATAATCATGCCTACAATGTAAGCAGATATGTAGAGACTTCCAGATATCCTAATATTACCATGTAAGCATCCTCGCTGAACCAGTGAAAGGAAACAACCAACCCTCTAAGCCGCGGATGCACAAGCTCATTAACAAGACAAGTACAGCCGGTGCTCAGGAATACAGAGAAAAAGCCTATCACTACCCTCCCAGTGATGAAACATAGCTTCGTTGTTTGCAAAAACAGGCTATAATGGCACCGGCGATCTGTTATTTATCAGCTTCACTGCTATTTTGCACAAGAAAGGTCATGCATACGCTGCCCATACTTCCAATGAGGATGCTAGCCCGTCGGCCGTATGAATCACATACCCAAGGGACGACAGCTGATGATCTAGCGAAACGAAGGTGATTAGTTATTATCATACAATGTGATAATGTTCAATAGCTTCACGGGATTGCAGACAAGTAAAGGCTTGCGGTGATGATACCTAGGCGGGCTCCTGCAGGATTGTTAAATGCACGGTTCCACTGGGGCATAGCTTGAAGCCCAGTGATCAAAGTCCCGTCGTATCCGAGGATGAAACTAACAGAACAGGTTCATGAGCATCGTTAGTTTACCAAAGCCTGAAAAGCGCACCATCCGAAATAGAGTCAGAACCACCCAGGCCGTATTCTTCCGCAAGCCAGGATCCTGCCACCAATTGCGATGTGTGTTGTTCTTCCAGTGAGTTTGGTCCACCATGATTCGAAAGGTTGGAGTAAGATATGTATAAGAGGGCCTTGATTTATAGGACCTGGCTAATCCTGCTTGTTCGGCTTGCTGAGCACTACATCTTCAATAGAGCCACTGTAACAGAAGTTCTGATTGAGATCGCTGAGAGGCTTTTGTACGGCGTTGGAGCTCAGCTTTCTGGATTCAAAAGGTAGAAATCCTTCATTTTCCTATATTATTAGTAAACACTCTTATGGAATCTTTGGAATCCCTCCCGTCGGTCGCTGTAGAGAGAAAGCTAAAAGATCAGGGGCTCAGCGCTCAAGCGCTCATGTCGCAGTCTGTGCGTAACTCACTTCCATAGGCCGAATTTTGGTGGTCTACAAGTCTACAAAACAACCCAAGGGAGCTATTAAAAAAAGACTAAGAGGAATGAGAAGAAGGCTTAGGACCTTTCTAGGTCAAGCTTAGGTTGAAGTCAAAGCGCTGAAGACGGCATTGACCGGACCGGATTCTAACGTGTCTCAGCGTGTCTGTTTCTTCCATCATCCTAATTTCTCTTTATATCTGTCTTATAACATCGCTAGCTAAATTTGCGCCTGAAACGTCATCCGTATATCAACAGCCTGGATATATCGGCCAGCGCTGTTCAGTATGCTCTAACGCCATATCTAGGCAGAGTTTCGGTCGTTGCATAAAGTCTGGTTTGTTGATCTATCAGTCGAAAGAATCAGACTGCTTGGCTCTCTTCGCAGGGCGTTGAAGCAATTGCCTTCTGTGGCGTGCAACTTTGTCTTTATCATGTCGAAGAGCTGAAGAGTTGGTGCGGTACATAAACCCTTCTCCAGCAATGATTCGACTACTGAACTGACCCAGCTTCTTTTAGGACATTCGAAGACATCCAATCCTTTATTAGAGACCTCTACTGCGAAGACTCGTCTCTCCGCTTAGACGTGAATGATCCAGGATTACAGAGATCAGTTGAGATAGACACTGTGTGCGGTTCAGGTGAGCTTTCTCCATCGTTCAACTAACCAGCGATCTTGGCTATTCATAGCTGCAAATATCAATCACAATCCAAGATACCGTCTCGCGGACGGTGCCTCAATAAGAAAGCATTGAATCAAGAAGCAGCGTGTTTCTTTCTGCTTACTTCCATTGTACCATCGGCTCATCCTTTTTCCTCTCAGAGACTCAGACTCGCTGTCTGTTCGCAAATCCTTG